GACGTTGTTGGAAGTAAAGAGGTGCCATTCTGGGTGTTGTCCAAACCCAGACACCCATACCTAATAAACAAAGAGGAGTGTTTTTTTTTTTTTTTTTTTTTTTTTTTTTTTTGCGATTATGTGATAAGGAAAAGTAGTAATCAGTAGCTTATTTTCAGTAGTATTTGCTTTATGTTTGGTGAGAGCAAGGGCAGAATAAATAACGTGCCAAAACTAGCGCAAGTGTGGAAATAAAACCATAAAGTAAATAATAATAAAAAAGAAATGAAGGTCGTGAATTAAAGATATCATGTCCTTTTTATCAGGAAAGATGTACGGATCCAGACTTTTCCAGAATGTTTTCTTTTTCTTGTTGTTTTTGTTCTTGTTAGTTTTGCACTATGGCTTTGAGGCTTCCAAATGCATGAATACTTCTCTACGTATTGTCAGTGTTTTTTTCTACGTTTCCCTCAGATAGTACTGGGTTTTTTTGTAGAAGCAGTTCGTTTGCACGACGGTGTTCACGTTTTTCCGCATGTGTCCTGTTTGTCCTCCGTCGGTGTGGTTTCTTGCCGGGCATCTTCTGATTCTGCTTCTCCTTCTCTATGTCGGGTGTGGATTGTTTGGTACTTCCCTCAGTCGCCCCTAATGAGTCGTCCTCGGATTTTTCTACTTGTATAGGTGTCACGCGGGATTCGCTGGGTCTAATAGAACTTTGGCACCCACTTCGACTCTCACTGCAGTTATTATTATTATTATTATTATTATTATTATTATTATTATTATTATTATAAGCCTCCTCACTCTTTCGCCCAACACTTGCCACATATCTATAAGCAAAGGCATTTGCTGCGCCAGTCATAAAGGAAAGGTAACTCCAGATCCCTAACGGGCGTGTAAAGTTAAAATAACGACTTCCCATAGTAGATCTAAAGAGTGAGATATTGTTAATGGGTACGGCACTATCGGCACAAGGTTGTGGTGTAATGTTTCCACTGTGGTCTATAGACCCTAGATTAGGAGTAGCAACAACGGGTGTGTTAGGGGAACATTCAACAGATCTAAAAACTGGTGGTGTGACTGGTTTTTTAATAGTCATACCTTTTGTGATTGTATGTGATATTATTGTCATGGAGTCAGAGAATTGATTTAGTTGTCGATTCTTTTCTTGCTCTTGCTGTTGACGAAGACGAGCAATTAGCATACGTTCCATATCAACATCTACCATTGTTTTTCTCGTAGAGTCACCAGTTGCAGAATCACTCAAACCAACCTTTGGGCCAATAGTAACAAATGGTATTTCCAGTGGAGGAGGTCTAATTAACTTACCTAAACGTGCAAAAGGCGCTTTACGTACTTCTGCAATATTTGATTCTGCTGCTGCTGCTGCAGTCCTAACAACATCACCCTGTTCTCGTCCTTTATCAGGATGATCGGTATGACTTCTTTCTCTCTCATTTTCCTTTCCATCACTACAGCTCACACTACCCAACTTACTTTTAACAGTAGTCATATCAACAGTAGTAGTACCAATAGTACCATTCGTTGCAATACTTGTAGTACTAATATTTGGATTAGTTGATTTCATCCAAGGTGTTTTTATTCCGTTATTATCCTTTTGTCGCCTTTTTACCGTTGTTTGCAACAGTAACAACTCACTGTCGGCATGCATGGGGCAATTTGGCGGTATGGGGTCTGGAAATGTATGTACTGCAATTGTCTCTCGCAGTGCGAGTAACTCTTCCCGTGTATACTGCAGTCGTTGTGGCATCTTTCCTGAAGCCTCCAAAATCAAATGCAGACACACTTTTTTTTTTTGTTTCTATGCGCAAATATAAGTCTATTTATAAATATATATTATAATTATATAT